AGAATACAGAGACGGGGATTATTTGATAGATCTTATATTAAAATTTTTTGCAACATGTCTCCTATGCCATGCATGTCTCTCACTGTCACAATGCAAACCTGATTCTGAAAGAGAGTCTCACAGATTTTATAGGCTCCAGAACAAGAGTACCATTTCAGTTTTCTCCCAATTCCATTCCCCTCCCATCCATAAAGAACAGAATGAGGTTCTTGGTCTGATCCTGAGGCCATGTCTCATTTTTCTACATACCACCACTGTAAATTTAGTTCAGTGGAAATGGTTCTTATCTGAGGCTCACAAAATTCTGTAGGCAAATATTTGATTGACTAAGCTATTCTGTAAAATCTTGACAATAGAGATTGGGCAAAGGGCAGCCAGTTGAAAGGTTGCTTTTGTTTGTTGTGTTTTATCTTTTTGCTGGAGTTATCAGTTTTCCTTGTAATCAGTATCAAGGCTCTGTGTGATTGTTGGTACTATACCTCAACATATGCTATCTTATTTTATAGTCACTTCTCTGTAGCTCTCAATTGCCCTGCTAGATATAAGACCTATGAAAACAGGGGCCATATCTTAATTATCTTTGTGTAACTTCTCTGACTTAGGCTCCTAGTGATGTCCAGAGGAAGATAAATGCAAATGAATGACCTCAGTGGCTTAGTGAGCAAAGGGCGTGCCTGAGAGTACGAACACAGCTGAACTGTGAGAGTACGAACACAGCTGAACTGTGTGAGTACGAACACAGCTGAACTGAAGAGCCTTCAGCCCATTGCCTCGTTCCTAAAACAAATCTGATTGATAATGTTTCCCCTCTTTCCTACAAGGATATTTTGAGATGAAATTGAGTTATACATAACATTTTGAGCCTTTCAGAGATAGAATTACCTAAGGCACTTTGCCTCTCAGCAGTTGCGTAATTTAGTTAGATGATATCTTGTGCTGGAGTCCACTTTAATGTGAAGACATTATTGCAAGCCTTCTTTTTTAAAAAAATTATTAATAAATGATATAGCCTTTCTAGTGATTTTGAAATGGTTTAAGAGCTTGCAAATCAAAATGTTTCCGAGGACTAAGTTAATTACCTGTCTCTGTCACCAGTTGCTCTATTCGTGACCCTGAAGAAAGTTGCTTTCTTCTCTCTGCTCACTTTTGGCTGCCCCTTCCAGGATGTTGCCAGAATACATTTTATTGTTATATGAAATAAAATCATGGAAATATAGAGTTCTGAGCATACTTGGCACCAACAGTGCTTCACACATAATAGGGTCTCAGTAAGTATCTGTGGAATATATTCATGAATCAATCCATCTATTTCCGCCACAGCAGATTGCTGCAATATCCCAGCCTCTGCTCCAATACTGCCTTCCAGTGGTGGAGTCCCTCCAAAGGCCACTTACTCTTTTTTGTGAACAAATCTAATTACTATCAAAAGCCACTTTAGACTTCTATGAGGCTTTCTATAATTCTGCCGGGCAGTTAGTCACATCTGTCAAGCATCTTAGTCATATTTCTGTTGCAGTATTGAGCACAGTACATTATAATTCCCGTTATGTCATACCTCTCATGTCTCCCTTTCTATACTGTGAGCTCCATGAGAACAGAGGAGTGTCTTGTTTTCTTTGTACTCCCAGCTCCTTTGTGCTCTGTGTGTGCTCACGTAGTACAGAGTGGACAAAAGACTGGGAGGAGGGGGACAAAGAGAATGAGAGGAAAAAAATAATAAAAACATGGCATATATGTATTGATCGCCAACTCAGTGGTCTCTTAAGAGTGATGTGCTCACCCCAGAAAACGTGCACAAAAACAAACCATTCAGGTTCAGGAAAAAAAATTAAAACAATTTCTATTTTTTTTTTTTTAATCTCAAACATTTTGATTTCCATTTTTTGATGTATGTTTTATACTCTACATGCTACTTTAGTATGTTTTATACATGTGTTTAATTTATAAACATAGTTTAAAAGGTACATATTCAAACATCTTACGTTAAAGACACAAATCATAAGTTTGGAGACGTCTAGTATAGCTGTTTGCCAGGTACTATGCTAAGCATTTGATATAGTAATTCATATCCCCTGGGACGTATGCTGTGGTCCCACTTTACAGATGAAGAAACACAGAAGGGTAGGCAGTCTTCCCATCATGCACAGCAGGTAAACGGTGGGACTGAGCCCACACTCAGACTTGTGTGGCTTGACGTCGCCACGCCCTCTCTTACTCTTCGGTCCCGGCACCCAGGGTTGTTCTTCAGGAGCAGTACAGGCTTATGGAATAAATAAATAAATTGAATGGATGAATCAGTCATACTAAATACATATGAAAAAGCTTTATTCTTAAGAAAAACTGTGAAAATTAAAATAAAATGTCATTTTTTCGTTGTAAAAGCATGTATTGGCAATGACAAGCCAAATAACATAGCTGTGTGGCACATTAAGACTATTTAGTTCCATTTCTTCACAGAAAAACTGAAGTAAAGGACAGCAAGTCACTTGTTCACTGTTAAATCTGAAGCCAAGAGACTGGGATCCTCATTTTCACACCTGATTACCGAACTGCTTTTGTTAAATTGAAATATTATTTGCATACCGTAAAATTCACCCTATTAAAGTATACAATTCAGGAGTTCTTAGTATATGATCAAGATTCTTTAACCATCATCAGGACTTAATTTCAGAACATTTTCATTACCCCAAAAAGAAAGCAGACACCCGTTAGTGGTCACTTCCCAGTTCCCTCTCCCCCAGCTCCTGGCATCTACTAATTTATTTTCTGTCTCTATGTATTTGCCTTTTCTGGACATTTCATATAAATGAAATCACATAATACGTGGCCTTTTGTGTCTGACTTCTTCAGTTAGCATAATGTTTTAAAGGTTCATGTAAGTTGTAGCAGGCAGACATTAGTCCTTTAATACCCTTTATGGCTGAATTATTCCATTACATGGGTAAACAAAAATCCATCAATTGACAGACATTTGGTTGTTTCCACTTTTTGGCTATTATAAATAATGTTGGCATGAACATTCATGTACAAGTTCTTATTTCAACATATATCTTCAGTTCTCTTGGTATATGCCTGCGAGTGAATTGCTGGGTCACGTGGTAAGTCTGTGTTTAACATTATGAGGAACTGCCAAACTGTCAGACTGCTTTCAGAAGCAGCTGTGCCGTTTTACATTCTCACTAGCAGTGTGTGACGATTTCAATTTCTCCACATCCTTGCCAACACTTGTTGTTGTCTGTCGTTTTTATTATAGCCACCCCAGTGGCTGAGAAGGATGTGGTTTTGATTTGTATTTCTAATGACAAGGATTTTGAGCATCTATTCATGTGTTTATCATCCCCTCAAGTACTTCTTTTGAATTTAAGTTATTTCCATTTCCTTTTTTATTTACGCATTTTTCAGTGGAATGTAAATTTTGTTGTTGTTCTTATGAAATCTTTTTTGCCTGGAGAGCTCTCCAGGCATATCAGTGCTCATGAAATCTCTTATTAAAGGTTGCCTTGCCTCTTGTGGTGCCAAGATGTTGGTACTGTGAACCCTCAGGATTTAACTGAGTTTCCACTGGCCACTTTCCAGGAAATCTCCACATCACATTATTAGATAACAAGCTTTTATAAACCCCAAATTACAATGGTGATGATAATGGTTTATTAAAAAGCATTTAATTAATTTTGAAAAAGAATTTCTTGCAAAATTATATTTTCTTAACTTTTTACATCCCTATGAGATAGAAAAGACCCAAAAGAAAGCAATAGCTGTTTCGAAGGATCTTCTAAGAAAGTGTGTATAGAGATGCGAATGTCTAACAATTCTAGTGTGTCTTGGAAAAAATATTTTTGAATATAACCAGTGCCTCCAGATTTCCAAGAAAATTACCAAGTTATTTTTACTTGGTAAAAACTTTTACCAAGTTATTTTATTTTATATGCTAGTCCTGGGTGTAAATTGCATTGCTCATATGTGATGCTAATATTTTAGCAATGTTGAAATTAACATTTGCTGTCAAATCTAGTTTAGACCAGAGATAAAGGAAAGAAAACATTTTGAAAATTCCATATGCCAAGTTTTGCCTTGTACATTGAAATATTTATATTATCCTCTAAAGATATGTAGTAGAATTCTTTAAAAAAAAAAAACAGTGCCTGACAGATTTTATATATAGCAGAGCCCACCTCGGTTTACATGTTTATTGCAGCTATAAGTAAGGCCTTTCTGGCTTTCAGACCTTACATGTTCCCATCTTACATTCAAATTTTATTTGATGACTTTTACCAAAAGTAGTCTTTCTCAGTCTTAGTATAAGTTGAATATATTTGGTCATAATGTTTACAATGATGAAATTCATCAGTTCTCTTATAAACTGGCTTTTTTATGGAAAGTGGTTTTTCTTTTTAAAAGAAAAAGACTGCTTTGAATTTTTGTTTATTTAGTCAATCCACAAATACTGGGTGAGCACTTCCTAGGCACCAGATCTGAGAAATACACTGGAAAGTAAGATAGGCATGCTGTTTGCTTTTGTAGAGCTCATACCCTACCTGTGAACTCCAAAACAATTACTTAGCTACAATTGTGATAAATAGTAAAAGCGAAAATTTTAAGATTATATGAGAGCACATAATAGAGGAGCTGACCCAATTTGTGGTTGTTGGAAAAGGGTTCCCTAAAGAAGTGACCCATAATGTGGGACCTGAAGGGTGCCCAGGAGTTAGCCAGAACATGCATGGGCCAGAGGGGACTAGCATGTGTGCAGGAATTAAGGCAGACAGGAGCCTGAGGCTTTTGAGGACCTTAGTGAAGGACAGCGTGCCTGGCATGTTAGGAGCAAAGGTACAAGAGGAAGCCAATGGGGTAGGCAGCACATGACGGCATGTTAAAGATCTGGGCCTCTTAGTAGGGAGCTGTTGCAGGGCTTAGGGCTATGGAGGAGTGTCTATTGGTCGCCCATACAATTAACCAAGGCTAAATGACCCTTTGCTCCCTTGTTTCCTTCTCTTGGTCAGGAGTATGACTGGAGAAACTACCAGCCCAGCCAGATGAGTGAATCTGAGTTGCAGATGCTGGCGAGCCTGCGACGGCAACAGAACGAAGAGCTGGAGGATGCCGGGGCGTCCCACGGCCTGAGCGCATCTCAGGTTGACAACTGCAACGTCAGCATAAGTACCAGCAGTGACGACACAACCACCTGGAACTCTTGCCTGCCACCCGTGAGTCCTTGGCTTTGCATTTTCCCTTCCATTGCCTTAACTAGGAGCAAGCTTCTTTCTAACAAAGCCCAACCTTGTCTGGGAAAACTAGGGCCAAAATGAGAACATTCCCTATGGGAAATATTCAGAGGCCATTCTGAAAAATAGTAATTTAGAACTGGAGGCAGAAAGTAGAAGATGATACTGTCTTTTCTTAAATTGTCTTATTTACCATCAGAAAATATAAGTATGATGATGTATAAAACCGTACATTGAAAGAAAAAAGGAGTAATTTTGCTGTAGACGCTGAGTATCCCTTTGTATCCCCTGTTCCAGCACAAGCCCTGTGGCACATACAAAAGGCTCAACACTTGTTAAATACATATTTGTTAAATGAATGAACAAAGAGGAAAAGACCATAGATATACTAAGCATTGCTCGGATATGAAGCGGAAAAGAACTTTCTGTAGAAGTCACTGGATGTTTACCGGCTCCTCCCTGTGTCTGAGAGGCCATGAAGGGCACTGTGGATGCTTCAGAGGCTCACGTTCCCAAATGTCCTCGCAGTTAGAGCACTTTAAATGTGGCCCGTCACCCCACCCTTGCTGTGGCCTGGCAGAGAGCTGGAGCACCTGCTTTTCAGGTGAAGAACTGAAGCCAGAGTCCAGGTTCCCACCCTGGTCAGTTGTGGAACCCAGAGCAGAGCCCGGTGTTTTGTCTCAGTGCATTCTCCACATTACTGCCCTCACGGGTCCTGCGGCTTACTGGGAAAAGCACAGCACGAACACCGACAGAGCAGTCTGGTGTAGCACAAGAAATGTCTTAGGGCAGAGTAATACTATCGTATGCTATAATAATGGTAATCAGAGCTGCTGTTTCTTTAAGTACTGAGCCATTTTAAGACCTCCACAGGCCCAAGGAATATTGACTTATGGGGCCACATTCAACATCATATCAAGCATATTAATGTATACTGTCATCCAACAGTAAATATAACTTTTTTACTCTACAATTTTTAAAGGAAATATAAAATTACATAACCTTGACTCATTTTATATATAACTATATAAAGATTGAGTTGAAGTATATTTGACAATGAATAAGTTATGTTTTAAATGTTTAATTAAATAACCATTAATTTTGCAATTTACCTTTTGTATTCTAAAGCCAGTTTTTTCCAGGTCTCCAGCATCTTTGTAGTTTTTGGAAATCCTAGAGACCCTGGCACCTTACACCAATCATGCACACTATCTAATTTAACTTTTAGGGCTACTGTATGTGAGAGGCACTGTTAGGCTCCCATTTCCAGGTGAGAAAATTGAGGCTCTTGAGTAAAGTGATGCAAACCTAGCTCGGTCTGACTCCTGAATCCGAGTTACTAACCACCATGATATACTGACTTCTTGACATGTGACTCAGTTGTCAAACAAACGCTACATATACCCAGTGGAAGGTGAGATTTCAGTGCTCTGGACAGAACTTACAAGTCTTCATGGAGGAGAAATTCAGATGGCTCTGAGATGGGGGGAGTAATATAAATTTTCCAGTAGTGTGCTTTAGCCCTGCTTTGCCCCACCCTCCAGGTTTCTCTTGCCTCAGTTGTGCTTTCATTAAATGCAACTATCAAGCATACATGACACCTTGTGTGGCCTTGATGCCAAAGAGTATCCACCCACTCAGAAAAATATCTGAGTTCTGGTTGCTCTGGTTACAGAGTATCCTTGTAGCCAGAGCTAAGATCATAAGAGTCAGTTGCAGATTTTTGCCAGTGCAATTTTTGATAAAATTGAAACATTGCCTTTCTTATAAAATATTCTTCAGCAGTCATTTAAACTGCAAGTAAGAAAGAGAACAGTGGCCTCCTGATCAAGCTCATTCTGTCATGAAGTAGCTTGGAGACCAGCATTACAAAGGGCAAGCTAAGGAATGATTATTTATGGACTGAAAAGGCTGTACTCTTGGTTGCCCTGGATACCGTGTTCTCATCACCATCCTATTCTGGCAAGGACTGAAGTCTCCTGCATGATAACTACTCTGATCTAAAAGTATACAGCCAAAAATAGCACCAGTGGTAATGAACTTAATAACCCTTCCCTTTGACCACATGAGAAATTGGAAACAGTATATTTTTTATACAGAGAAATATTGAAAAGCCTACCTTTGGTATTCATAAGATATGTTTATTATTGCATCAAATTCAGCCTATTTTAACATTGGAACAATCACCAAATGGAAAATTGTATTCCTTAATGAACCCTGCATCTTGCTACTCATATAGACTTTAAATAGAGCAGTTTACAAGCACCCTTGTACTCCTTCTGAGAGCTCATGCTGTTCTCTTTACAAGTTATACAGGGACAGTGAAAAAAAAGAAATGAAAGAACGTATAACTTTATTTATCACAATGATATCCTGCTCTTCTTGTATCTTAGTGAATGGCGCCGTCATCCAAACTGGCACTTGAGCAGGAGATTTGGAAGACATTTTCACTTCTCCCACTCCTTCATCCCCCATAAACAGTTGGTCTCCAGATCCTGAGAATCCTCTCTCCTTTTTACCCCTTAACCCTCCCTACCTGATTCCACAGGCTTGGCACTTTCTTTTTATTTCTTCTTCCCCCTTCATCCCACCACAGATTGTGCACTTTATTTTCCGTCTGGATTCCTTCAGCAGTGCCCTGACCTCTCTGTGCCTTCCAGGGCAGGCTCCACGGCCTGGTGGTTGGGCGCATCCGCTCTGAAGCCAGACTGCCAGGGCTCAAATCCAGGCTGTAACCCACTGCATCTGAGACATAAGAAACATTTAATGAATAAAGGTTAGCTGTCATTATTATCATTATTGTTTACATTAGTGATCCTTTTAAAGCCTAGATCTGATCTGCTGTCTTCCCCACATAAAGCCCTATGGGTGGCTCCCACTGCCGCTTTAGTGTGGTTTATGAGGGCCCCTGTGACCCGAGAGCTGCCCCCGTCCAGTCTTGTCTCTCACTGTCCCCACCTCTCCCTCCATGCTCAGTCTCAGGTGCAATTCCCTAAACGCACTCTGCACATGTCCCTGGACCTCACACCTGGCTGTCCTCAAGACTGAGCTGCAGAGCCACAGTAGCCCTTCCCCGGCCTCAGTGCGAGGGACACAGCTTATTTCTGCCACGAGAGCCAGGAGCATCTCCAGAACTCTCACCAAGCTTGCTCATCCATCTCACCGCGGTTCATTCCACACGTAATTTCTGAGTAGACCCTGTGCTGTGAACCAGGCTGAGTGCTGGGCACACAACCAAGGTTTTACCCAGTCGTGAAGCGTTCACAGTGGTGGAGGGAAGCAGAGAGGGAAGCAGCTCGCTGTGCTCAGGGTGGCCTGTGAGAAAGAGTAAAGAGTTGTGGGAACACAGGAGTGGGTGCAGTTCCGCCCGTGGGCTTCGGGGGTGCTTTCACAAAGAAGGCAACAGTGGGCCGGACGCGGTGGCTCACACCTGTAATCTAGCACTCTAGGAGGGCGAGGCGGGCAGATTGCTCGAGGTCAAGAGTTCAAAACCAGCCTGAGCGAGACCCCGTCTCTACTAAAAATATATCTACAAAAAATTAGCCAGGCATGTTGGCTGAGGTAGTAGGATCGCTTGAGCCCAAGAGTTTGAGGTTGCTGTGAGCTAGGCTGACACCATGGCACTCACTCTAGCCTGGACAACAGAGTGAGACTCTGTCTCAAAAAAAAAAGAAGGCAACAGTGAAGCCACAGTTGAAGAATGAGGTCAAGTTCGCCATTTAGACAAGAGGGAAAAGAATTCCAAGTTCTGAAAAGGAGCAGAATCAGGTCAGTGGAGGGAAGGGGAGAGTCTCTCCTTTAGCAAGGTAACACCCTCTTAGTGCCTTGGTTTCTCTGTCGACTCAAGTAGGACTTGAAATGAGTTGTGCTTGTCTCCCCACTGCTCCCCACCCCCACGCCCGACCCCATGCGGCACCGGCACGGGAGGACCACCCTGGCCACACCGTTCACATCGTGCCATCGCTCATCTCTTTCCTCTGCCTAGCACGCTCCTCCGTCCTAGAACACGCCTATTTGGTTTTGGTTCGTTTGGTTTTTGGCTAATTTTTTTTATTAAAGACTTTATTTTTTTAGAGCAGTTTTAGGTTCACAGCAAAATTTAGAGAAAGGTACAGAGAGTTCCCATCTACCCTCTCCCCCCACACGTGCACAGCCTCCTATTACCAACACCCCCCACCAGAGTGGCACCTCTGTCACATTAATGAACCTCCACTGACACCTCGCTGTTACCCGAAGTCCATGGTTCCCACTAGGGGTCACTCTTGGCATACACTCTGAGGGTTTACAAATGTATAATGGCACGTATCCGCCACTGTGGGATCATCCAGAGTGGTCTCACTGACAGAAACCTCTGTGCTCTGCCTGCTTACCCCTCCCGCCACTTGGTTTTGAAGGCCCAGCTCACTTGTCACTGCTTCGTGAAACCCTCCACCCAGAATTCTTTGCTTCCTTCTCTGCATTCCCCTGCAGGTGCAATTATAGCACTTGCAACATGAAATAACCGTGGGGCTGCCAACACTCCACAGGCCTGGTTGTGAGCTCCTCGAAGGCAGACCCTGCCCCGGTCTTCTGGAACCTTCCACGTTGAACACAAAGGCTGGTATGAGGCATCAAGGCTGACTGTCCCTCACTGGTTGGTTAAATGAATCAATAATATTTTTAAAAGTCATTTTTTTACTCTAAAATAAGGCAATTTTTATCAGCATTTGAAAATAAACATCAGCTTTGCTTTGCTTAAATAAATCCTGAGTGATATATTTTATATTCAGGATTTGATAAGTGGATATTACATATACAACCAAAGGAAAAATCTTCTGAGCAAGGCCTGATTACCGATAGTAAGAAAAAGAGCTTTAGTCAGATCACATTCAGTTTAGCATCTTTGCCTGATGACTTCACACACATTGCAGTCTGAAACCAGAAAACCCACTCACGGTAAAATGAAGACTCTTTAGCAAAATCTATTGTGTTTACCACAAGCT